TCAGATAGTTTTGTCCCAAACATCAAGTGACAAAACTCCCAGCCATGCAGTGAGAGAAAAACTAGATTGAAAAAAGTCATATCGAACTGCACATAGGACCATGCCAAGCTTAGGGTTAGTCCTAGCCTATTAGATGCCATCTGTCTGGCTACTCTTCTGTCATTATTATCTTCATCTCAGAGGGAGTTAACTGAGCTGGCTTCAACAGATTTCAGATGGCCAGATTGGAGCCATAAGATGAAAACCCATATTAAAGTGGGCATTTTAATAGAAGTGTGATGTTTTACATTTGAATTGGCATGCCTCCAAGACAAAGGAGGGAGAGAACAGGAAAAAAAAACTTTGCCTAATTGAATAACATTTGTATGTAAATTTAAGATTAAAACTAAAAGTCTACAATGCTTGAGGGTAAAGTCATATATTTTAAATCTGTCATGCTGATTGGCTTAATAGGCCATATTTTCAGTTCAATGGGGTTTTTTTGATATAATTGGTGTTATCGCTTGGTTCAATTTTAAAAACTGAAAAACTGTCCTCATTTTCTTTATTTCTTCCACTTATGCGAGAAGAAATTGCACGTTTTATCTACTGGGGATAGCAGACACCCTTTGATGCACACACACTCATGAGTCTTTTGATAAATCTGTTGTTTATGATGTTGCTCTGATTATTTCAAATGTTCGCAGTAGGGAAATGTGCAGAAAATGATCCCATTAAGATGTTTACTCTATTTCAGTGATTCTCAACCTGTGCTTCGTAGATTACTGGTGGTCCATAGCAGTATTGCATGTAGCCTGTAGAGGACTGCATTGATTGATCAATGAGTCCTTGATCTGAAGGGGAGAAAGAAATGAATCACAGAAGGAGAAATGAGAGAAAAGGTCACAACAATAGAGCCCTTCATTTTGTTTCTTGAATGATGTTGGGTATTAAATGTTAGATGAAATGCATAATATAAATCTTTATGAATAGTAATAGGCAGCAGACAAGCTGGCAGTGTCTGTCAAATTCTGGTTAATACAGAAGGTTGGCTCTTGCCAACCAAGGGCTTTGTTTAAAATTATACACATGCAGGTCTGTGTTTCTGGACTAAACCCCAGAATTCACCAGGCAGAAAGGGCAGTGGCCATGCTACCTGGGGAATTCTTTCAGATTTGTAATCCAAATGCACACATCTGCAATGGTCTATCAAAAGAAATTTTAATGGCTTATTTCTGTAGGAGTCCACAAGAATCATCAATGACAATGCTACCATTTACATAAAGGAAAAGGCTGGGAAGCATTGATCTGCATGATCCACATACTAAGATCTCTTCTATGGCTACGGTGACCCTGTGTCTTTCTTTACACACTTTCTAAGCCTCTGTTAGAATAGGTGAGATCAGGTAACAATATAAGATGGCACTGGATCGTGTTGGAAAGGGTTGTGTCACTGAGTGTGATCTTCAAAGCACCTCTTCCATCCACATTTGACCTGGTCTCAAAAAGGTTCAAGTTCAGTGCAGAGTAGAGATTGGCTGTTTCACAGTCCTCTGTATGTCATCTGGTCTCCTGAAAACAAATTGAATAAGATCGTGCCGTAGGCACTCTAAAAAGCAAACTAAATCACTATCTGATCACACCCTAATTCTATTAGAAGATAATCCAATATCTTGAAGTATCTGCTGTACAGTCCATGTTCTGGTATATAAGCAGCAAACTTTGCTTTCTGCCTTTGGGAAGGTTGCTTATATACCACTCCACAGTGCTTAAAGCACTCTCTGGGTGGTTTATAACATGACTATGCAGGCTACATATTATGCCGCCCCCCATGAACTGTGTATGTAATTTTCTGACCTCAGAAGGATGGAAGGCTGAATCAGCCTTGAGGCAGCTACCTAAATCTGTCAGGATCAAACCCAGGTCATGAGCAAAGTTGCAGTACGATAGTTTAACCACAGCACCACAAGGCTTCTCTCATGAATTCCAGAGGCTATTGAGTTTTCTCATACTGAGGACTGAGCTTGCTGCCTCCCTTCTACCATGTGGTGTGAACCAGGCAGCCTCTACAAATACCAGATTGCTTAATTCCCCTGATTTTTACCTCAAAAGAATGTTAAATTGCCTATCTCATATAGAGGGATATTATTTTTCTGAGGTAAAAAGGTTTTTTTAGTGGCGGACTTAGGGCAAAGGAATGTGATTTCCTAGTCTTTCAAAACAGTCACAGATAAAAGTTTAGGGCATACAGCTGAATTTAGCTTGCTTATTTCGTTTATTTCATTTAAAACCAATTGGCAAAATTTCAGTATATTCTCTCATTCCCACCACATCTGAAAATAAATACCTACTTTCTGGCATCCTCTCCAGTACATCTTAGAATAATTACCATCTATTTGATATAATGATTTTAGTAACAGCCCTCTAAAGACTATCAAGTCAAGGATCTATAATTATTTAAACACATCATTGCTCCAAAGGACTTATCTGCACTTACTGAGGTTTGTTTAATTAGGGTAGGTGAGAATTTTCTGTTAGTTAATTTTTTAAAAATATGAATTTAATGAATATTCTTTGTAGGATGAAGACCACTTTAACAGATTAAAAGTTCAAGTATGTGATGAACTGAAACCACCAGAATTACCCATCGAAGCTGAGTTTGACTGCTGAACTTTTACAAATCTAGGTTTTAATCTGTATTCCATGTATTCCATGATTTCAGTGCTGAATTAAGATTGCCTTCTTTTTTCAAAAGCAGCTCCTCAGCTTTAACATGAAAATGACAGATACAGGCAACATGATTTTCTCCATGCTTGGAACAGTTGCACCTATTTAATATGGCCGCCACAAAGGGGGGGATTTCATATGAGTTCACTTGTGAAGAACTTACTAACATTTGCACACACACACACACACAGAGAGAGAGAGAGAGAGAGAGAGAGAGAGAGAGAGAGATGAAATACGGGGGGGAGCTGATGGTTCTCACCAACTCTACAGGATTGTGTAGGGTTACAACTGAGACTGCTTTTGAAAGGTTACACTGATCCTCAAAATTGGAGCAAGTAATAAAACCCCAAAGTAAATTGTACCCCCCGCTTAATATTGGAATAGGATCTTTCCACTTTTCATAACAATACAGGAATGCAAAACCATGGCAATCAGATCTAAAAGCTGTTATGAGTGAGAAGCAATCCAAGCAGCTGAAAATGAGCTTTGGTGAGGAAACTGTGAAATGACATAACCAATGTAAAAAAGGGCACTAACCTGAAGCATCACGATCAGAGGGCTCAGTAGCTATATTAAGCAGTGGAGAGATAATGAAAGACCAGGAAAATTATAATAATACAAAGAAGAGAAAGGCTAAGTAACTCATAATGAAGGCAGAAATATATAGACAGAGGTTGAGACAAATAGGAACCATAGACTGGAACAGGACTTTATCATTTATTCTATCACAAAATCTGGGAAGCAACTGAGAGAAATAATGAGTTTAGCTTTTCTCTTCCAAGCATCCTGGATTTTATTTTATTTTTTAAGGGGAAGCTGTGCAAACACAAATGGGTTTTAGTCTCATCTGCTAGCCCTTGTGTAAATGAAATGGGCTGCATGCAGTTTTGCTTAATTCTTGAGTGCTTAAAATTCGAATCTTGATTTTTCAGTCAAGCATGAAAAGGTCTCACCTGCAAATCTCTATAATTTGTGAAAGTAATGCTGAACGCAGATCTCTGCGAATTTCACACAAACAATCCTGAAATACAAAAAACAAAAACAAAAAAAATGCTGCAGCTTTTGGAAATACTGAGACAAATTAGATAAAGAGCTAGGTGCACTTTGTGGAATCCTTTACCCGTGTGTGCATTGTAATAGTTTATTACATAACTAGGTTACTAATTAGATTTTTTAAAATAAATAAATCAGATTTTTACCAGTGTGTTCTTTGTAATTCTGTGGCACATTGTAATTAGAAATGTATTCTTTGTAATTGCATATCTTACCATCTGTTATAATGAGATTGTGATATTATTTGAGTGAGCAGCCTCTAAAAAAGCCGAAGCATATCTGAAGCAGATTTTTTAATAATAAATAATCCCCTTAAAATATAATTAAAGAATGGCATCCATGACTGTATGAGCAGACTTCTGGCCATTGGGATCTCTTCTTCATCACCTACCTAGGTGCTTTTAGAAATGCTTTCTCTTAGTCCCACCACATTCACAGTTGTGTTTGGTGTGAACATGGAAGAGGGCCTTCTCTGCCACTGATCTCAGACTCTGAAGCTCCTTCCCATATTTGCTACTGTTCCACAAGCAGACAAAGACCTTCCTCTTCAGGCAGGATTTCCCTTAGTGACTGGCTGCCTAACAGAGATATTTTTAAACGGGTTATTGTGCCTTATTGCTTTTAAATGTGTTTTTGGCATTGGTTTCATTTTCCGTTGTCTTTTTAATTATGTAAACCACCTTGAGTCCTTTTTTAAAGAGAAAGGTGGGGTAAAAATATTTTAAACATATAAACTAAAATATCAGGTCCTTTGCAGACATAAATTGTGCACTGAACTGTGAGCACTCTTTAAAGTATGAATAGTTAAAATGCACAAAATTGAAAAATGCACAAACAAGATCTAGTTGCTTTGGAAAATGCATTATTTAGACAACTTGCACAAATTCACAAGTTAGGGAAAATACGTGTTTCAGTGAGATAAGAGGGAAAAACACAAGCCAATATGAAACAAGGATAGGAAGAAAATCTTCCCATAGTGCTTTCCCACTTTCCCATCTGTCCTCATCACCTCAGGAGGAGCACAGGACTGTATTAAAGAGAGAGCCAATAAACTTCTCTTTCAGAAGCTTTCTTCTAGTCATGGTTTTGAAACTTAATCCATGAAATTGCTATTGTTCTGAATATCATGCTGTAATAAAGATCTCTGATTCCTAGGTAGTAATTGTTTACAACCTTATTTGAAATAATACATATTTGACGGTACCATTTTTTTCCAAATATTTTTTCTTTTTGCCTTCCAGCAAAGAGCTCCTGCAGACAAAGAGACTCCTCAGGTTTCCTCAAGAAGAGTATATAATAATCAAAGTACCTGGGACTGCACTTCACAAGATGTAAGTTTAATTCATGTGGAAGTTAAATCAAACCCCTAATGCTGTGTGTGTTGTATGCTGTCAAGTCAGAACCAACTTGTGACTCTACTAGAGCTTTCAAGGTAAGTGAGATGTTTAAGGGATGGTTTCACCAGTTCCACTGCCTTAGTGAGTTTCCATGGCCAAGTGGGGATTTGAACCCTGTTCTCCAGAGTCCTAGTGCATCAATCTATTCACTACATCACACTGGGAATCAACTCTTGATGCTAGTAGATGCAAATGTATGCATATTTAGGTGTGTAGCAGTTAAGATAGGATGCATAATGTTAAATTAGGGGGAAATAGTAATATTATTCCTGGGGGCTGCAAATGGGATGCTTTTCTATGTAAGCACCTACTCTCTCTGGCTTTGCTAGAAAAATGTAATTCATAAGATTTGAGAAGTTTATCAGAGTGAAATGCAACAAGAGGACATATGCTTTAATTTGCCAGAATCCACTTGCCAAATTCACATGTGAAAATGCCATTTAAAACTTTTTTTAAAAAAAAATTCTAATACATTTATTAATTTTTGTTTAAAATATTTTTACCCTGCTTTTCTCCTTAGTATGGACCCATATTAAATCTTACAGCATTAAAAGACAATATATAAAGCAAAAAATAGTAAGTATACAAATACTGAAAAAAATGAAACAAATAGAATCATGAAAGGCAGTAAGCAAAAGCAGCATCAAAAACACATTCAAAGCAGTAAGGCGCAACCATTCATTTAAAAGCCCCACTGAGAAAATGAGGTTTGAACAGGACAGTGCTACAAGTCACTATGGGACAACCAGTTAATCCTCCATTCAAAGCCATCACAGGGAAAGCAATGTCTGTGTAAAATAACATGGCCTTGCACAAAGTATGTCTTTCATAGCAATTTAACACTGGACATGTAAACATTGAAAAGGAAAAAGAAAGCACAAAATTGGAAGAAAAAAAAAGGAAAGTCCTAGACCATTAAACACCTAGAGGTCTGAAATGCATATCAAATAAGCAGGTAGCTCACCAAATTCCTTCAGCAAATCCTGGCAATTTGCTGTCTTTGCAGTTTGCAACAATGACATACATTTCCCATAAACAACTGAAAAACTATGTTTCATCATTTAGTGGTTTGCTGTACCAGCAAGCCTCAATTGTTGATAACTGAAGGGAAAAATAAACAAGTGAAAGAAATATGGATGTAGGAAAGGAAGGGACATGCCACAAACCATCATTAACAATGTTGTTGACAGTTGAAGGGAAAAATAAACGTAAGAATATAAGAAGAGCCCTGCTAAATCAGTCTAAGGACCCATCTAGTCCAGCCCCCTGTATCTCACAGGGGCCCCAACCAGATGCCTCTGGGAGCCTATGAGACAACAAGAGGCCTGTCTCCTGATACCCCTCCCCTGCATCTGGCATGTTGAGGTACCTTCCTTTTTTGAGGTACCAAGCAAGAGAAATGCAAAAATGGGAAAGCAAGAGGCACACACCATAATCATTAACAATGGCAATAGAGCAAGTGCTTCCTTTTTCTTTCAGTTGTTTGTTTTATGCAATCATGGCAAAAGGCAAAAGCAGCAGCAACTATGCCTGGCTACCATTGTATATCCTCCACAGTGTTTTGGACTTAGTGCTATTCTAGGATATTTGATGTGTGTGTGTGTGTGTTTATTTCCAATTTCTACAAACCTATTTCTTTTTCAGAGAAGTAACTGTGTTAGTGTGCCTCACCATGTTCACAAAAAGAAAAGAAAAAATTAAAAAGTGAAATAGTGTGATGTTTAAAGACTAATAGATTTATTTTAGTGTTAGCTTTTGCAGGTGAAAAGCTACTTCAGAGCTTTTGTGGGTCAAAATCCAATTCTTTAGAAACATCTGAATAGATGTTGATCTGTGAATTCATGCACACAAATAAATCTGTTGGTCTTTAAAATGTCTTTTTTTAATGTCAGACAATGGCTATAGAGAACCAGCTTCAAATCCCCGATTGAACAAGACGTTTGTTGTGCAACCTTAGGCTAATCTTTCGTCATAAGCCAAAGTTACCTTGTATGGCTGTTATGTGGGGAAACCTTGTAAGAAAGTTGAAGAATGCTTCCTTGCATAAATGAATGAACCAATCTATTTAAAAAGCACATCAAACTCACATGTATAGTTTAAAGTGATGCTGGAGATTGCTGAAGAACACATGCAATGGAATCCTGAATATGTCTTCCATTGCTTCTTACCTGCATCACAGTACACCCCAACTGGTAGGGAATCCTGGTCCTCTGGATATATGGATAGCATTTTCATGGAGACACAAGGGGAAGGGAAAAAGAAATCCCTATCTATTTGCATGCACCTAAGTCTGGACCCATTCCAATGTAATTATATAATTTTTCCTTTAAGAACAAAAAAAGTGTACAGATGCATTACGTCTTCGGAAAAACAATTAAGATGAACTAAAAGGAGATACAACATCATCAATTTCAAAGGCGTTATAATTATCTGTGTCCTGGCACAGCAGGCAGACCCCAGGCTCCTAGAAATTTAATTAGACTGTACAACAGAGCAGTATTAATCAAGGTTTAGAACTAAAGAAAATATAAGGAGAAATTGACATAATAAATAATGAATTGTCAATAGGTTTCTCAGTAAACAGAAGGAGAAAGAACAATAGTTTTCAATCTTTAAATAAATGCAATTTCAAATAAACATTGGCTAAAATCCTGTTAGTTATGCCTTGGAGACTAATTGAAGCAGCATAACTTCTAGAGGAGAATACCTCCAAGTTAAAAAAAAAATCACTGCAGACATTGTCTATATTGTGCAGTTACATGATTTGGTGCATGACAGATAACGTCTATGGTGATTTCTTTAGGCATTTCACTTTTGACCCCTGAAAGCTATGCCATTTGTAGTACACTGCTGTAAAATCCCAATAGGATTTTATCCACTAGGTTCTATATTCCAGCACGGTAGTTCCTCTTTGTCCTTCCCTTCCTCCTGAGGGGTTCATTTTAATAACATCATCTCCAGAGCCACTTTTCCTGCTTTGGTTATGCCAAAGAGATGCACAAAGGGATTTCTGGTCCCTCTACATATAGATGTTTCTTTTGAGAATAGGGATAACTTCTCAAATACCAAAATCCAATGCCTTCACTCTACCAGTGTATCTCTCTTTAAATACATCTGTTAAAAAACACCATATGTGTTTTTCTCTTGATATCATGAAACATTTTGCCTTTTTTTCTCAGCTGCTATTGTTCTACACATGCCAACTGTCAAGATCTTATTTTATGTCCTGATAACCTGTTTCTTTCCCCTGTTGTGTCTGCTTAGCTATTCTTGCTACACAGGAACAGGTGTATTATGCTCTGATGTTGACTGTGTGTGGTTTCCTCTTCTTTATCTACTAGTTGTTTATTTGTCTAAAAACTAATAGAATGAAATAGTTAGAAATCGATAGAGGCAATTCTGTTTTACGTATTTGGAGATTAGAATGATGTCACTCCTGCACAGTTACAGTAGTCTGATAAAAGTTATCTTTTCATGACTCCATTCTACCCAGATCTGTACTTTTGTGCGGGACTTTGAATTCTTTGCCAAGGAGCTCTAGTGTTCTGGTTCACCAAAAGTGGAAGAGTTGCAATGTGACTGAATCCAGAGGGTTTCAAAATCACTCACTCTGTTTTCTATGTGGTATTTTTGATTGGTCATCTAATACTAGCATACTGTTCAAATTAGTGTTGCTGACTTTTAATCTTTTAGGGGTTCTTTGAACAAACTATCTGATGAATTGAGTAGAAATGTAAATCACCACAAAATCAGAAACTTGAACAGCTGAAATAATTCTTTGAAAGTCAAAGCTTTATGCATTCCCTGTTTTTAGGCAAAGAACTTATAACCCAACAGACTCAAAGTTTCTGTGGGCAAAATCATGTTAACATAACTTTGTGCAAGTGTAACTTGGATTTGGTGCTAGATATATTTAAGTTACACTAATTAAAAACTGCATCACTTTCAAGGCTCCCTAGGGCTCTCTTTTGCCCTGGGGAAGTCTTTGGGAGCATCAAGATGGAGGAGGGTAAACCTTTCAAAGTTAAAAATTGCCTCTAGGATCAGGATTATGAGTGACAATCAGGTGGTTATTTTTAATTTTTTTTACTGCTAAAGTCCTGAGGCTTCCAAAGGCTTCAGCAGGGCAAACAAGAACCGAAGGGAGCCCCAAAATAAAAAAATGGGAGAATATGAAGCTTTTAATCAATATAAATTAAATGTTTTCAGAGCCTGATCTGAGTAATATTGGAATAAAGTTACAGTAACAGAATTATGCCCATTGTAATAATATGCAGGTGCTTCAGATTCTGCTGATTTCAACAAAAGGTTGTTTTTTTTAAAAAAAAAACTAGGGATGTACTTCGGATTCAGAATTTGAAACTGAGGTATTTCTTCCCCCTTCAACAAACATTTTTCTTGAATAAATTGAGTAAATTGGAATAAAGAGCATGGTTGAAAGTAGAGGAGAGAAAGGAAGGGAAGGAAGAAGAGGAGGAGGAAGTGAAGAAAATTACAGGTGCTTTGCCTGAATATTGAAGTTTGAGTAGTAGTTGATAAAATTGAGTGTCACACCCCCATCCCACATCAGAGTCATTTATTTTTCCCTTTTCATGTTATTTCACTATTTGGACAAATGTAAATATGTCCAAATCCTTCAAAATATTCAAGTACAAATCAAATTGGATGGGTAACAAATCAGCTCAAAGAGAATTACTTGCAATTTATAGGACCAATAATTCAGACAGTGTCAAAATGGATGATATTTGTCCAGCCATAATTTTTTTATCCTTGAACTGCTCCCTGAAAGCCATTTTTTTGTAAGATGGACAGTGGGCTTTTCCTTTCACTTCAAAAACAACTCTACCAACTTCAGTTTCTTTGCCACTACCTAAGATCAGTCCTGAATCCCATCTAAATGCATCCACAGCTAATAAATTTAAACTTGCATGCTC